GTTGGTTTCATTATATAAAACTCTAGAAAATACAAACTAATCAATGGTGACAGAAAGCAGATGAGCATTAGCCTGGGCTAGCATAGTGTGGGAGTCACAGAAGACAGGCAGGCAGGAGGGAGGGATTACCAAGAGGCTAGAGGAAACTTTGGTGGGAAGGGCAGCGATGGAGTGTGATGATGGTTTCATAGTTGCATGTATATGTAAAAACTTATCAAATTGTACTCTTTAAAATCTGCAGTTTATTGTGTGTCCATTATACCCTTAAAGCTGTTAAACTTTACACTCGTTAGCAGAAACTTAAAATTTTAGGTTCCTTTTATTATAATCCAAAAACTGCTTTAAAGAGCTATCCCTTTATCTCAAAAATAATTATATTTTTAGAAATCTTTTGCTCTTCTTTCTTTAATCTGAGATCTTATAAGGGTTATTACTTTGATCTGAAAAACCCTTAAAGAAATTCAAAATATGCCATGAAGTCTATAGTGAAAAACAGACGTGAGGAGGAATTCCATGTTGCTTCAGTAAATTCCATGTTGCTTCACTTCATGAGTTTTGTAAAGCTAAGAGTGGAACGCTACCCTCCAGAAGGAGATGACATGCAAAGGCACAGAATAGAAAAGCCTTATGGTAATGGGTGATAAATATTTTCTACTTCTAGACACATCCTTTCAAAAATCTTTTAAATTCTCTCTACCTAGGTTTCATCTGTTAAGTTGAAGTAATGATATCTGTACTCCCTACCTGAAATAAGGTTTGCAGTCAAATGAAATCCCAACCCATTGCTTCATTTACATAGGAAAGAAAAACAAATTAGTTGCTATTTCTACAACAAATTTGCCTTGCCTTTGCTTCCTCTAGTTATTTCACTACAGACATGTAAGTATATTTAAAACATTAGAAGATTGATGGCCATTCTTAACATTGTTATTTAATTGGAACATTTCTGACCTTTTTCTTCTATAATTGCTTTGAAAATTAAGGTAACTGATAAAGAAATTTGTGCACACCCCTTTCTGATTATCCTAGATGTCGCTTTTAGAATACAGTTCTTAATTTTTAATGGTTTTTCTGCAAATAAAAAGTAGACCATAGGTCAGAATATGACATATATTGAGCTCAACCTTTTTTAAAACTGACAGTCATTTATACAGGTGAGTATTTATCAAACCTGAAAAGGATTTGACAAGCACCATATCAGTGCTTTACTCAGAAACAAACAAGTCTACAATGGTTACATCTGGAAAGAATGTAGTTAAGGGTTGGGGCTGGAAATTAAAGATGGTGGCCAACAGAGTGGAAGCTACACTGACACTCCCAAGACCAAACTGGAATTACAACTAAAATATAGAAAAACCATCCTGAATAATCAACTGCAACTGAAGACCAGCTGGAGAGCACCCTCATAACCAAGGAGGAAAAGTGGAGAACAGAGAGAGACTGGTAGGAAATGCAGAGGCACCAGAGGGCTGGCTGGCCTCCCACAGGCAGCAGCTGAAGGTCTGGAGGGAGATCTCAGCTCTGGGGGTTCCCACTGAGGACTCTGGGGCCTAAACCCTAGGCTGGGCTTCCTGGCCAAGAGCACCAGAACTGAGAAAGGTGCCCATATAACATCTGGCTGTGAAAAGCAGCCGGGTTTCTGTCTGCCAGAAAGAGATGGCTAGAAATGCAGGCACCCTCTTGAAGAGCTAATGCATAAAGTTTTGTGTGCAGCCACTCACCTTGGACTCCAGCAGGGGGTGGGCAGAATGAACTGGAGCTGTGTGAGGAGAATCAAGGGTTGTGGGCTTTGGAGATAGAGCTCAGAGGGCACCCCTCTGGATTCCTGTGCTGAGTCATTCCCTATACATCAGAGGACATTTTTCACAGGCAGACTTTTACCTTCCAAGCAACTTTTACCTAGGGGGAAGCAATTGCCCCACCCTGCTGGAAAACCTCTCACAGTACCCAGAGGAATTTCTACAGCCTGAGGCTCATTAAGAGAATCAGAGTAATCAGCCTGCAGCCAGAAGTGGACCTCAGAATGCTTTGAGTCTTTGCCTGATCTGCTTCTGGACCTGGGCCTTGAAAAAGCAGACATTGGTGTGCATCTTGGTCCTATCCAACCACAGTCAGCCCCAGCAGAGGAGACCTCAAGCTGAGGGTGGTTGATAGCTCCAAACAAGGTACTCAGGGCCAGTCAGGAACTGTGTCTGACATTGACCTGCACCAGAGACCCTCCAAAAAGACTGAGAGTCCTAGCAGGTCTACATAATACATAGAAACAAATCCAAACAGGCAACCAAAATGGGGAGACCAAAGAACAAGCCCCAAATGAAAGAACAAGAGAAGTCTCCAGAAATAGAGCTAAATGAAATGGAGATAAGCAATCTATCAGATATAGAGTTCAGAATACTGATTGTAAGGATGCTCAACAGCATGAAAAAAGATACGGAAACTATGAAGGAAATGAAGACTGACATAGCAGAAATAAAGAATACATTGGAAGGAATAAACAGCAGATTAGTGGAAGCCAAGGATTGGATCAGCAAATTAGAAGATGATATAAAAAAATCAGATCTAAAAAGAAAAAAACAGTTAAAAAACAGGAGGACAGTTTAAGGGAGCTGTGGGACAACATGAAATGTAACAATATTTGCATTATAGGAGTGCCAGAAGAGGTAGAAAATAAGCAAGGGCTAGAGAACCCGTTTGAAGAAATAATGGCAGAAAACTTCCCTAACCTGGTGAAGGAAAAAAATCACACAAGTTCAGGAGGCACAGAGAGTCCCAAGCAAGAAGGATACAAAGAGGCCCACACCCAGACACATCAAAATTAAAATACCAATAATTCAAGACCAAGAGAGAATATTAAAGGCAACTAGAGAAAAGCAATCGGTTACCTACAAAGGAGCTCCCATAAGGCTATCAGCTGACTTCTCATCAGAAACTCTACAGGCCAGAAGGGAATGGCATGAAGCATTCAAGGTAATGAAAACAAGGATCTGAAACCAAGACTACTCTATCCAGCAAGACTACCATTGAAGTTAGATTGTGAAATAAAGAGCTCCCCAGACCAAAAAAAAAAAAAAAATGCTAAAGGAGTTTATCACCACCAAACCAGCATTGCAGGAAATGATAAAGGAACTGCTATAATTAGAAGTAGAAATAGAGAGAGACATAGGTATAAATAATTAAAATGGCAGTAGATAAGTATCTATCAATAATAACCTTAAATGTAAATGGATTAAATGCTCCAATAGAAAGACATAGGGTGGCTGAAGATAAGAAAACATGACCCAAATACATGCTGTCAACAAGAGACCCGCCTCAGAACAAAAGACTCACACAGGATGAGAGTGAAGGGGTGAAAAAATTTTTTCCATGCAAATGGAAATTTTTAAAAAGCTGGGGTAGCAATACTCGTATAGGATAAAATACACTTCAAAATGAAGACCATTATGAAAGACAAGAAAGGTCACTACATAATACTAAAGGAATCGATCTGACAAGAGGATATAACATATGTGCACCCAATACAGGAGCACTTAAATTTATAAAAAAAACTTCTAGAGGACTTTAAGGGAGAGGTCGACAGCAATACAGTCATACTAAGAGACTTTAACACCCCATTGACTGCACTGGATAGGACTTCCAGACAAAAAATCAACAAGGAAACAGTGACTCTAAATGATACACTAGATCACATGGATTTAATTGACATTTACAGAACATGCCACCCCAAAGCTGCAGAATATACATGCTTCTCAAATACACATCAGTAGATGAGTGTATAAAAAAAACTGTGGTACATTTACACCATGAAATACTATGCAGCTATAAAAAAGAAGGATCTCTTATCTTTTGGGACAGCATAGAGGGAACTGGAGAATATTATACTTAGCGAGATAAGCCAGTCAGAGAAAGATAAGTACTGCATGATCTCACTCATATGTGGAATCTAATGAACAAAATAAACTGATGAACAAAATAGATCCAGAGACATAGAAGCATGGAATTGACTGAGGGATCTCAGAGGGAAGGTGGGGGTAGGGGAGTAGATGGGGAGAGATTAATGAAAGAACTTACATGTTTATAAGCATAACCCTTGGACACAGACATTGGTGTGGGGAAGACTTGAGGGTAGGGTGAATGTGGGGTGGAGGGGATCAATGGGGGGGGGGAGAACATCTGTAATACTTTCTACAATAAAGGCAAATTAAAAAAAGAAAAGAGTTGGGTCTAACAAGTATTTGTATTTACCAACAGGTATTGAATTATTTGCAAAGCTGTTTCATAGTGTTAAATTAGAGAAAAGCTGAAATAATTTCTGCTCATCCAGTTTAAATGCAATCTAAGTAGGATCTGGCTCATGACATCTCTTTTTATTGATTGATTTTATTATTATTTTTAATCCTCACCCAAGGATATTTTTTCCATTGCTTCTTCAGAAAGAGTGGAAAGGAGAGAGAGGAGGAAAGAGAAACATCGATATGAGAGGGACACAATTGGCTGCCTCCCGCATGCGCCTCGAACTGGGATGCAGCCTGCAACCGAGCTACATGCCCTTGGCCGGAACCAAACCCAGGACCCTTCAGGCCATGGACTGATGCTCTGGCCACTGAGCAAAACTGGATAGGGCTACAGTATCTCTTTTTAAATTTTTTATTAAATTGATTGGAGTGCCATTGGTTAATAAAATTATATAGGTTTTGAGTGTACAATTCCATAATACATCATCTATAAATTGCATTGTGTGTTTACCACTCAAAGTCACCTCTCCTGTTACCATATATTTGACTCCCTTTACCCTTTTCTACCTCCCTACCACCCCCCTGTCCCTCTGGTAACCATGATACTGTTGTCTGTGTTGGTTCATAGCATCTCTTGATTCACCTATGGTACAACTCAGTTTGAGAGAATATTGGAATAAAGTATAGCTCACAGTTCTCATTTGTTCTTAGCATTCATGCTTTTATGGTTGTTTCCAGGTTAATATTTTTACTTATGTCTCCCCACAGATTGCAAAATTGGGAAATCTTCTAGAGTCAAAAGAAGACCATTGCACCAGGCTCATTGAAGAAAATGACAAGTATCAAAGACATTTAGGCAATTTAATAAATAAGGTACAAATTTTCTTACAGAAATTTGTCCTTTAAAAACTATGCCAAATATTAAAATAATCAAGTTTTGGAATTAGAAAGGATCTGAGGGATGATACAACACATTCATATTGATTTCCTTTTACTTCATAATGACATTATCCCCATTAGCCTTTCAGCTGAAAGTTAGCAAAAGAACATTGTGTGTATCTATCCTTCTGCTGTCAGCAACTTCAGGTCTTAATATTGCTACTTCACTTTGAGGGTAATTTTAAATCTAGCCAACCCAGTGTTCTAGCTTGCTTTTAAAAACTGCATTAACATATGGAAGCAACCCAACTGCCCACCAATAAATGAGTGGATAAAAAAGCTGTGGTACAAATGTACAGTGGAATATTACCTAGCAATAAAAAAGAATAAAATTTTACCATTTGCAACACTAGATGGACCTAGAGGGTATTATGCTAAGTGAGATAAGTTAGGAAAAGACAAATATCATGTGATTTTACTTATATGTGGAATCTAAAGAACAATATAAATGAACACACAAAACAGAAACAGACTCATAGATACAGAGAACAGACTGATGGTTGTCAGAGGGGAGGGGGATTGGAGAACTGGATGAAAAATGTGACAGAGTTGAGAAGTACAGATTGGCAGTTATAAAATACTCATGGGGATGTAAAGTACAACATAGGGAATATAGTCAGCAATATTGTAATAACTGTGTATGGTGCCAAGTGGGCACTGGAAATATCAGGGGAACACTTTGTAAAGTATATGATCTAACTACTTGGCTTTACACCTGAAACTAATACAAAATAATATTAAATGTTGAAAAAGTGACTTTTATATGATTCTATATTTTAAAAACTTTACAGTATGATCCAGCAGCTCTACTCTTAGTTATGTACCCAAGATAAATGAAAACATATGTCCACAAAAAACTGTACACAAATGTTTATAGCAGTATTATTCATAATAGCCAAAAAGTGGAAATAATTCAACTGATGAATGGATATATAAAATGTGGCATATGCATATGGTAGAATGTTATTTGGAAATAAAAGGAAATGAAATACTGATATGTCCTACAACATAAATGACCTTGGAAAACACCATGCGAAGTGAAAGAAGCCAGTCAGTCACATATTATATTATTCCATTTATATGAAAAATCCAGAATGGGAAAATGTGTGACAGGAAGTAGATTAGTGGTTGTCCAGGGTTGGGGGTATGGAGGGAGTGGGGATGACAGCTAAGGGATAGGCGGTTTCTTTGTGGGGTAATGAGAATGCTTTGGGATTGATTGGTGATGATGAATGCATCCATCTGTGAATGCACAAAAAGCCATTGAACTGCGCATTTTAATGGGTCAACTGTGTGCTATGTGAATTATATCTTAATACACTGTAAATAAAAACTGTTTTAAAAGCTCCATTAACTTGAACCAAATCGACTATATCACTTGGTTGATACATACACCACTTGTCTAGTCCACAGCTGGATCATAGTTGACACACTACAGTTGTCCATTTTTTGACACATCACTTTCTGCATGATGAATAGACACATTATAATTCCATTTCTGTTTTCAAAAATATAAGAAAGACATTTTGCCTATTGTAAAACTTTCATTGCTGGGGAGTCATAATTGAACTTCAACCTGTAGAGATTTAAAACAAAAAAAAAGTTTAAAAATTCTAGAATTTATCGGAGAATAATTTGTTTAGCTTCTTTTTTCAAGGTTACATCATATGAAGAAATTATTGAGTGTGCTGACCAAAGGCTCAAGATATCTCACTCCCAGATTGCACAGTAAGTTGAAAAAGAAGCTTAATTTTTAATTTTTTAAACATTTACCGATATTTTATTTTGCTCTCTGGCTTGCTAAATTCATTTTTTCTTACACTCCTAGAAAGGAGGAAACTGTGCAGTTTTATATATTAAGACCATTCTTCAATAATATAGTGAGTCTGCTGAGGGTCTGGACTACTTGGCTCACCAGATTTTCGTCTTCCTTTTTCAGAGTTTCCTTTGATTTGGGGTAAGGGGTGGGGTGAAGGAATTAGTGAGAAACATCCAAAAATTTTTGAGGATATTGCCATGGTATTCAAGTAAAATAACCTTGAAATGCTTAGTATTTATTCACAAAAGGTTTTTGAATGTACACCAAATGAAACATACATACATATATCAAGTACCAAATAAACTTTATCATTAGAATGAGATTTAGCTTGAAACACTCTCAAATTGCTGTTTTTAAATTCTGCAGCTTTTCCTCTTATGTATTACCCTCATTTCCATATGCCTCTTCCTCCAATTTCATTTGTACTGTGCTGGCTATCTCTAGAGCGAAAGCTCCTCCCAAAATAGGAACTTTCTGTAGGGCTAACTCACCACAAGATTATTGAAAGACACCATAGGTATTTGTACTTTGGAAAGCCTGCTTTTGTTTTTCATTATTTTTTCTAAGCAGAATGAATGATAAAAACAATTTTCTCACTTTTCAGACTGATGCAGGCAAGTTTAAAATTTTGTGGGAAAAGGGGATGTTGTTACACAAGTCAAATTAGACTCCCCACTAGTTTAGAACCAAGAAAACAGCTCAATCATCATGGGCTCATGAAATATAAAAATAAAGAATAACCTAATATTTTAAAAACAGTATCAAACTATCACTTGGCTATATTGCTTTGCCCCAGTTATTTTTTTAAATTTAAAAATATTTTAAATTATATTTCAATTGAGTAGTTGATCTAGTTTGTGTTCAAGAAGAAACTTAGCATCCAAATTCTATAACCATTATTAAGAAGGTTGTCGCCTGTGATTGCTTATTAGGATTGCCTTGAATGCTTCTTAAAAAATATCCAATGCCCAGGCCCTACTCCCAAATCTAATACACTAAAACACCTTGTGGGAAGGGCCTGGGTATTTTTAGAAGCTATCCAATGATTTTAATGTCTGGATATATCAAGAACAACTGCCAGATATCACTTGAGTTGAATTACTTTAAGTGATCATTATTTTCATTTTTAAAAATAAAATATAGGCTGTTATATCCACAAATAACTGTATTTTAATTTAATTATAGTGAATTATCTTTGATCTCGTTAAAATGTATATACTGCTTCAAAAATTAACAATTGGCGCTTGTCTATTCTGTTAAATTTAGCAGTGTTTGAGGTATCTTCAAATACATTCACAGGCTATACTGTAAATTATCAATTCCCCCATGCCTTGGATTTTTTTAAGTGAGTTTCAATTACAGTTGACTAATATTATATTAGTTTCAGGTGTACAAACCAGTGATTAGACATTTATATTACTTACAAAGTAATCACCCTGATAAACCTAGTACTAATATCTGATACCATACATAGTTATTATAATATTTTTTCTCTTTAAAATTTTTATTTATTAATTGATTTGAGAGAGAGAAGAAGGGAGAGAGGGAGAGAGAGAGAGAAACATCAATCAGTTAACTTCTACACATGCTCAACTAGGGATTGAAACTGTAACCTAGGTATGTGCCCTGACCAGGAATTGAACCCACAGCCTTTTTGGTGCACAGGACGATTCCCCAGCTAACTAAGCCACCTGGCCAGGGCTATAGCCTTTGTTTTTAAGTCTGTTTTGTCTTGTATATGTATTGCTACCCAATTTTAAATTTCCATTTTCGTGAAATATCTTTTTCCCTCCCTTTACTTTAGGTCTACACAGATCTGTCTTTAGATCTGAAGTGAGTCTCTTGTAGACAGCATATATAAGGGTCTTGTTTTGTTGTTTATTCAGCCACCATATGTCTTTTGATCAAAGCATTTAATCCATCTGCATTTAGTAATTGTTGGTAGATATGTATTTATTACCATTTTATTAGTAGTATTTTTTATCTTTTATTTATTCTTCTTAAAGAAGACCCTTTAACATTTCTTTTAATACTGATTTGGTGGTGATAAACTCCTTTAGCTTTTTCTTGTCTGTGAAGCTCTTTATCTATCCTTCAATTCTAAATGATAGTTTTGCTGAGCAGACTAATCTTGGTTGTAGATCCTTGCTTTTTATCACTTTGAATATTTTGTGCCAATCTCTTTTGGCCTGCAAAGTTTCTTATGAGAAATCATCTGACAGTCTTATGGGAGCTTCCTTGTATGTAACTAAGTGCTTTTCTCTTGCTTCCCTTAAGATTCTCTCTTTGTCTTTAACCTTTGGAGTTTAATTATGATGAATCTTGGTGTGGTCCTCTTTGGGTTCATCTAGTTTGGGACTCTCTGCACTTCTTGGACTTGTATGTCTATTTCCTTCACCAGATTAGGGAAGCTTGCCATCATTATATTTTAAATAGGTTTTCAATTCCTTGTTTTCTCTCTTCTCCACCTAACCCCCATGATGTGAATGTTGATATACTGGAAGTCCCAGAAGCTCCTCATACTATCCTCATTTGTTTGGATTCTTTTTTTTTTTTTTCTGTTCTGATTGGGTGTTTTCTGTTTCCTTATCTTCCAAATCACTGGATTGACCCTCTGCTTCATGGTACTCCACTGTTGATTCCCTGTTATGTAGTCTTCATCTCAGTTATTATATTCTTCATTTCTGACTGGTTCTTTTATATGTTTCCTATCTCTATTAAAATCGTCAGTGAGATCACTGAGCATCCTTATTACCTATGTTTTGAACTCTGCATCTTATAGATTGCTTGTTTCCATTTATTTAGTTCTTTTTCTGGAGTTTTGTTCTGCTCTTTCATTTGGGACATGGTTCTTTGTCTCCTGATTTTGGCTGCCTCCCTGCATTTGTGTCTATGTATTAGGTAGAGCTGCTAAGTCTCCCAGTCTTAGTAGAGTGGCCCTATGTAGTAGGTGTCCTAAAGGGCCCAGTGGCACAGCCTCCCTGGTTGCCTTATTTGGTGCTCTAGGTGGGCTGTGTGTACCCTCCTGTTGTAGTTTAGCTTATGTAAAAATCCTTGCCCAAGGATATGTTTTTATTGATTTTTTTAGAGAGAGAGGGAAAGAGAGAAACATCAATGTGAGAGAAAAACATTGGTTGTGTCCCATATGCACCCCAACTGGGGATCAAACCCACAACCTAGATCGAACCCACAACCTAGATATGTGCCCTGACTAGAATCAAACCTGCAACCTTTTGGTGTACGGGAAGACACTCCAACCAACTGAGCCACCTGGTCAGGGCTGTAGTTTAGCTTTGATTGCTGTTGGTAGGTCATTGGGAAGGATTTACCTTCAGAATGATTGGCTGCAGGGACTGGCCTTGACCACTGTGGAGAATCTGCCAATCCCACAGAATAGGAATTGCTTTGGTGGGGCTCTGAGTCCTCCCCTTGAGTGTGTTACTTGTAGGGGTGATTGGGTGGAGCTTTGGCATCACCTGGAGCTATCTGCTGGGTGTGCTGGTTCTGGGGCTTCCCAGGAGGTGCAGGCCAAAGTCAGCCACTGCCTGTGCCCTGCCCAGGGCCACCCAGCACTAGCCACAAAGTGATATGCTACTTGTGCTGGGCTTGGGGTGGTCCGAAAGAAGCCAACCTGTGAACCAGGGCTGACTTGCCACTAGTACCAGGCCTGGGGCCACTTAGCAAGAGGTATGGGGTATTTTGAGGCCAAATACTACTTGTTTGAGAAATTTTAGGGAAGTCCAAAGCATGAGCCAAGACAAGCTGTTAGTGTGGAAAAACTACTGGAAACAGCTTGGGGGG